CCCCTGCAGGAGGCATTCATTTCCCCAGCTTCCTGGCACTGAGAGCAATGGGGCTGCGCTGTGGGGTAATGCCGCCTGCTTCCTCCTGCTCACCCTGCACTCACCTCCACCCAAGAAGGGGTAGGAGTGAGAGTGTGTGTGTGTGTGTGTGTGTGTGTGTGTGTGTGTGGGCAGAGAATAAATACCGCATCATTCTGCCTCTTGTGGGTAAAGCCCCCCTTCTGCTCCCGATGGGGTAAACACCCCACCACCCCCTGCCGTCCCCACTGAGCGCCGGGCAAGCCCACAAAGGTTTGCCTTGCCTTGCCGAGCAGGGCTGTGCTCGGTTGGATGAAGCGCAAGGCGCTGCAGGGCAGGGAAGGAGTTGAAGCAGTGCCGTGTTCAAGCAGGCCACACCAGTCCACTGATAACCAGTGCCATCTGGAATGGGTGTGAGCTCTACTCATCAGCAACGCTCAAACAGCAAGTTGAGGGCTGTGGGGGTGACGTGTGGAGGGAACAGTCCTCCCGTGCCATTTTGGAGAGCTGCAAGGCTGGAGGTCATTGAGTCCCACCCCTGCCCAAAGCAGGACCAGCCCCAGCTCAATCACCGCTGGCAACAGGACCAATCCTAACTAAATCATCCCAGCCATGGTTTTGTCAAGCCAAGACTTAAAAACCTCTAGGGATAGAGATTCTGCCACCTCCAGAGGTAACACATTCCAGTGCTTCACCACTCTCCTACTAACATAGTCTTTTCTTATATCCAACCCAGACCTTTCCCACTGCAACTTGAAACCATTGCTCCTCCTTCTGCCAAATGTTGCTACTGAAATCAGCCTCTCTCCATCCTCTTTGGAATCTCCTTTTAGGTAATTGAAGGCTGCTATCAAATCCCCCCTCACTCTTCTTTTCTGCAGACTAAATAAGACCTAAGACCTAATCCCTCAGCCTCTCCTTGTAAGTCATGTGCTCCAGCTTCCTCATTTTTGTTGCCTTCTGCCGCACCATTTCCAGTGCATCCACATCCTTTCTGTAATGAGAGGCCCAGATGCAGTACTCCAGATGTGGCCTCACTAGTGCCAAATAAAGGGGAATAATCACTTCTCTAGATCTGCTGGCAATCATTCTCCTAATGCACCCTAATATGCCATCAGCCTTTTTGGCTACAAGGGCACACTATTGACTTATATCCAGCTTCTCATCCTCTGTAATCCCCAGGGCCTTTTCTGCAAGACTGCTACTTAGCCAGTCGGTCCCCAGCACTTTAACGAGGCTTGGGATTCTTTCATCCCAAGGGCAGGACTCTGCACTTGTCATTGCTGATCTTCATTACATTTCTTTTGCCCAGTCCTCTAATGTGTCTAGGTCACTATGGACCCCATCCCTGCCCTCCAATGTATCTAGCCAGCTTTATATTCACTTTACAGTCATTCATCCAATCCACACTTCTTTAACATGCTGGGCAGAATACTGTGGAAGACCAAATCAACAGCTTTGCTAGAGTCCGGGTACATCACATCAGGCTGATCAGGCAGGACTGGCCGTTGGTGAATCCATGTTGCCTGTTCCTCTCCTCCAAATGCTTCAGAATGGATTCCTTGAGGACCTGCTGCGTGATTTTTCTGAGGACTGAGGTGAGGCTGGCCGGTCTGCGGTACCCCAGATTCTCCTTCTTCCCTTTTTCAAAGATGAGCACCAACTTTGCCTTTTCCAGTTGCCCAGGACCACCTCCGATCGCCAGGAGTTTTCAAAGACACTGGACAATGGCTCTGCCATCAACTCCCTGAGCAGCCCCAGGAAAGAAGGCAGGTCCCTCACTGGTCACTACTGCTTGCAGAACGTTGCTTCTGCTGCGCACCAAGTGTGCTCAAAGAGCAGCCCAGCCAACGGTTTGGGTGCCCCGGATGGTCCTACGACGACACCCTGAAATAAGCGGCTCTGTCTTCACGTCCCACGCCGCCCTCCCCGGATATCTGTTCGCACTGGAATCTTGGCCGAGTCCTGCGAAACCCAAGCTGACTCTGCAAAGCCCTTTGCAACCTGAGCCGTCCGGCAGTCCCAGCAGCCACTGCTCCGCCTGATGGCCTGGCCAGCGCGAGCGCCTCCGACATGTGCAAGTGTCTAGCCACAAAGCTCTGAGCACAGGACAGCTGGTGGGGAGCCGATGTGCCTTGCTGGGGCCCGAGCGGTGCTGTAATGGGGAGCTCCCTTCCCCCAGGGGTTACCAAGGATGAGTAGCACAGGCAGCAAGACAAAACCAACTTTGCAGAATGTCCTGAAGGCGGACAGATCCGCGCTTTGGTAGACAAGGGGGAAGCAAATCCAAACGCTGGCACGTGTCCTGCCCACAGACCCCTCCCTCGCTTTCGCAGGAAGGGGTCTTGAGTTGCAGCAGCCATCGGAGTAGGAGCTCTGGAGAAAAGAGCCCCCTGGTGCTCTTCATCCTGCTGCCGAGGAGAAACATCAGTCGTACAGCAGCACCGATGGCGGGCGGGGGGGGGCAGAAAGAAAACCTACCTGCCTCATGTCCCAGCTCTTGGCCTCAGGAAGATTCCACTCCTTGTGCCATGCTCTGAATTCTCCCTCTCTCAAGAAACAAGGATTCGCCCTCGTGGGTCAGACACCGCCGCAATGAAGTCAGAGAGTTAGGCACCTTCATAACTCGGAGGATCGGGGCCCGTCTTTTAGAAGTTTCATCGCCCTTCCCTGGGCCTTCTCCGTCTTGGTTGTATGTCCCTAGAGGGGATGGCGGAGGGCTGGCTTTGTACCATGTCACAGCATGCTCGAATCGGGTAAGGCCTGGGCCCGAGCTCTGTTTATCTGTGATGTTTCGGCCATTTGATTAGCTCAGTATGAACGAACAAGCCTCACTGTCTCTCTGCAGTCTAAATATGGCCTGATCTCCTTGCACAATAACATCCCAGCCATCAGTTAGCTCCCTGCCTGGGTGGACAACAGGAAACTGGATCCCAGCATTTAGAGCTCAATGGAAAGTTCTGCTGCGCCTAAATCACAAAGCCCCGCTGCCAGCCCAGCAGACTCTACAAAAGGAGCAGGGTCATTGAGCAGTGCATGGAAAGGGGGAGACGTTAAGGCTAGGGGAGAACGGACAGGCCAAGGACTCCGCTACCGCCCACTGTCATGTCATCGCACTGTTCAAAGCAACGGGACGTGCTTGGACGCTTTCACGGCCCAACCCGAGACAAGCCCCACCGTTTGAGTGAGGTGCGGAATGCAGCAGGTAGGAAGATTGCCAAAGGAGTGGTCGGTGCTGTGATTTTGGGGGGGGGTCCAAACTGAGAGGCCCTAAAGGGGGTGTGACGTGTCAGAGGGCAGGCACACAGCAGCACTTCCTGAAGGGCAAGCCCCTCCAGGCTCCCACGATGGGCCCCCAAAGCCGAGGGGTCCAAAGTCACCGGCGCCAGATGGTTCAGACAGGCACCTCGCAGGGTTTCCAGAAGAGTGGCAGCCCCAAACTCAGGCTTTCCTTAGTGTCTCAGATCTGCGGCGGGGCGGAGCGGAGAGGAGCTTGTCACCCTGTGTAATCACAGGACCCTCGCATGCTTGCTGGAGCCAGAACGCTGCCTGGGGCCACAACGAGAGGCACGTGGTCCAAAAACCAGGGCCCCGGGAAACCTGACAACTAACTCTTTTGTAGGTTTTTCTGCTGAAAATTGAAACATTGGAATGTGACCGTTTTTGCGGAATCCCCAAGATCACATCTGTCTCGTCGAAAGCCCAATTTTTCTGTTGGAAATCTTTCTGGATGGGAGCATTTCGAGGGTCCCTCCTCCAGCTATTTGGGCCTGGCTGTGGGATACTCCGGCCGGCTGACAATAGGAGACAGCAGCCAGCCCAGGCTTGGCAAACTCACCGCTCGAAGGAACAGAAACGACCACAAACCCCAGTGTGCTCAGGGCCAAACACCCAGCTCTTCGCCCCGGCTTCCCCACCACAGTGTTCTCATTCCCGCAGACTGAGCCCCGTTCTGCAGGCAGGGATGGAGGGGAGGGAGAATACTGATGGTTTTCCTGAGACGGCAGGTCCTTACACACGACAGGGCCTTGCTTGGCCTTACATTGGCTACCTGCGCCTTGGAAGCAGCTGACAGGAGGGGTTGGAAGTTGGGTTGTACCTGGATGCACTCTGCCAACCCCAGTTAGCATGACTAGAGAGTCAGCAGCTGTGAATTCACCCCAGAATCACTGGAGGAGGGACTCCACTTGCCAAAAATCCCAGCAGCGATTAGTGCTAGTGACACCGTTGGACAGGCCGAGCAGATGCCCCGTGTCCATAGCAGGGGCTGGCGTCAGCAGGTGGAACGAGTCCAGGAGCGTGCAAAATCATGTAACTGTGCTGGAGCGCGCCGGGCTGCCCACAGGTGTTAACATTCCCCTGAGGCCACCAGCCGCACATCCCTCAGCTGGCAGCGCTGTGACAGGATGGAGGCCCAAGATAAAATTAGAACGGGTTTCTAACCCAGCACCTTGTATAAATGGTCGGGGCCAGTTGAATGAGGTTGCTGTTAATTGCTAAACCAGACTCCCTCTCCTGCCCTGTTTGTGGGCTAGGAGGCTTTCAGCCGGGGCCGGGTTTTTGCTGCTGGTGTTTGCTGGCTCCTACAGACTTCAGAGGCCATGTCCTTCATACTGATTGGTGAAGGTGCTGGCTCCTACAGACTTCAGAGGCCACGTCCTTCATACTGATTGGTGAGGGGGGGGCATTTTTTGCCTCTAAAGGAGTGTTGGCTTTTTGCAGAGCAGCCCTCCATCTCTTTATTGGCCATCGCTGCTCCATTTGTCCATTTTGGCAGCGTTAATCCCCCTGGACATGGCTGTTTCAGGCACTGTACACCAGCCTGCACCCCAGGACACACAGTCTGAGGCTTTTGTTCACAGCGGTGTGCCTTCCTCACGGCTCCTTCGGTGAGTGTGCATCACTGAGTTTTGTTTTTGCCGTGCTGCTTTGAAGTTTCCACTCTGGGTGTGGCAGAGGAGGGTCAGAGACGTCCTTTTAAAGAACTTGCAAGTGCTGCAGAACGGACTCCCTGTAGCAGGACGGTGCTGACAGGGGGCCTGGAGGGGTAGGCAAGTGATTAAATCGGAAAGGGCAGAGAGAGGGGGGAGAGAGAGAGAGAGGAGGGCTGGTCCTGAAACTAGAACTCCCCCTCTGCAATGTGGCTCCTTCCTCAGCTTTAGGAAGCGGATCCCTGCGGGGATTTCCTTTCCAAGGTGACTCGTAACCTATTCATTAGGGTGGATTTTGGCAGGGCACTACTAGTGCACTTGAGCAGGGTCGGGCACACGTTCGGTGTGTGTGCAGAGTTCATTTTGGGTGAGGGGGAGCCTTTGCCTTTCCAAGAGTGGAAAATAAACAGTGCCAGCTCTGCAGCCGCAGCCGCAGCAGCTCGGGGTGAGGAAGGGAGCGGTGGCAGTGCTCCGATGGGTACCCGGGCGTTTAAAAAAGACGCCAATGCAGTGGCAATTGAGATGCTGCTCATAGTTCGCCCTCAGAAGAGGAAGACAGTGCAAAGGGTGCAGACAGACAGACAGACGGAACTCAGTGCCTCGCGCCAAAGCCCAGGTAAAGCAATATCTGCAGGGGTTCACATGCAGGGGGACAGCTGCCGGGCCCACCGCCCCAAGCTGCAAGCAATTTGTGGACTAAGAGGTGAGCCATCAGCTCTTGGGGGGAAACAATGGGTTTGCGGGTTTTCTCTTGTGCCCCCCGAACTTAAAGGCATGCAGTGAAACCCCTTCCCTGCCATCCAGCCAAAGAGAGGCAATGGCCAGGACCAGGCATGTTGCACGGAACACCGGGTGGCGTGCCCGTGGGGCGGAAGGGGGCTAGTGTTCCGAGGACTGCATTTGCACAGTGCTGCTCACCATGGAACACGTGCACAGCACGAGACGCTGCCCAAGGGCTTCCGAAAAAGCACCAGATTTACAAGGCAAAGCAGTGAGTGCGCTGAACTGCCCGGGCTTCGGTTATTTAATCCCAAATCGGCGGGTCTCACACAGGGCAACAAGGTCTTATTTTAGTGCATGTGTGCAAGCGCAGGCATACTTTGTAAAGCATCTCACCACGAGACATTTATAGCACTGTTTGTGACAATCCCCTTGGCGGGCTCCCATCCCTTCAGGGGAGCTCCCAGGCTCTTTCTGGGACCCTGGAACTCATGGGCTGTTCCCAGCAGCAGAGAGCGCCTCCCCGCGCTGCAAAGCTGGCAGAGCCAAAGCTGTAGTCCTGCAAACTGGTCTTCTCTTTTTTCAGTGTTTCATGCTCTTGGGGCCATATAAATATTGCAGAAAAGACGAGATTCCTGTTGATCCCATGCCTACCTAGCACCTGTGTCCCCGGGGATTTTCAGCTAGTGGGGGTGAAACCAGCATGGCCATTTCAAAACCATTTTCATGTGAATGTTTTCAGAAAAGATCCAATTTTTAAAAAAATACTCATTTTACTCAATGTCCACTTTTCAAACCCATTTGTTCTGACATTGTTTTCCTAGCTTGCTTTCTCCTTTCTTCCCCCCCTTTTACCCTCACAACCGAAACACGAACTAGAACGGCCCGTTTTCATTAGAGGGAGGCGGAAAGATACACCCTCTCATTTTAAAAACAAGGGCCATTTTTTTTTTAACTAAAATATTTTCCAGCAACTCCAATGACCCTGCCTTGTCTGCCCACCTCATGCAGCCCTGACAGCCCAAGAAGGATTTGCTCTGCTCAATTGCAGCAAAGCTCTCTGAGCCATTCTGGCCTGAGCTCCTGTAGGCAACCCAAGGGAGTTCGAAAGGCTCAGCCGCTGTCGGGACCCGAAGAGGAGGAGATAGAGCATGGACAGCAGTTTACTACGGCGGAACATGGCTCTGTGGATAGGCGGCAGGGCAGAGAGAGAGGAACTGAGTACTCCCAGCACTGCTTGCTCCCAGGAGAGCATCAGAACTGCATAACTTCTTTCTGCGGACTCTCCTGGGTTCAGCGGCTGTGTCGATGAATGGAGCTACCGAAGGCAACATTTGGGAAGGAGACAGACCTGGTAGAAAAAGCCCATTTATTTTTTACTTAAAAAGCGAGTGTCATTTATTTCTCCAAATAACCCTAAAAACAAAACAAAAAAGGTCAGTGAAAACTTGCCCTAGAAAGCTGAAAAGCTTCAGAGTTTTGAAAATTCATTTTGGTAAAACTTGTATTTTTGAAAACGGTACAATGTTACCAACGCCAAAATATTTTACCAACCTTATGTCAGTTTTCAATTTTCAATGATACACTGAAAAAATTTCAACCCAAATCAAAATCTCTTTTTTTGGTAAAAAAAAAAAAAAATATTAAAAAAAATGTGGACCAACTCTCAGGCCTGCCAGCAGGTGGGGTATAGAAGACAACTGCCCCGGAGCTCAGGTGTTCAAAAGGGCCCAGGGCAGCAGGGCCGGCGCTCAGAGACCTGGGCCTTTCAAATCTCCTCTGGAGCCCTGTGAGGTGCGCTCCAGGCAGTGCTGGGGGGGAGGTCCAGGTGGCACTGAGGGCTAGCTGCCCCAGCCCCGCCCCTTCCACCCAGGGCCCTGCCCATTCTGGGAGCACAGAGCTACACCCCCATCTTGCCCAGGGGCCCGGCGAGGCGGTGGGCTCCCTTTCCACTCTAGTGGCATGTCTTGTAATGTCATAGCCTTTAAGAAGGCAGTGTTGCCTAATGGATACAACTCTGGGCTGAACTCAGGAGACCTAGATTTCATTCCTGGCTCTGCCACCAGCCTGCTTGGTGACCTCGAGCAATGGTGCCTCGTTGCCCAGTGACTCAGTTCCCACGGTCTCTACGATGGAGATAACGATACTGACCTCCTTTGGGATCTATGGACGAAGAGCGAGCTGGTCTCAGCAGCGTTCCCGCGCTGCTGCTCTCTAAAGTTCTTTAGAACTTACTTTCAAGGTGAGCCAGCATCCACCATCGTGATCTTCACCCTTTGGATTTGTCTAACATTTAAATGAGCACACAGCATAATCCGGACAAGTTTGGGAACTGAAACAGGACCACAGCAGGGAAAAATAAAGGACTTCCTCTTGGACGCAGTAATGAATATAGCCCATAACGTGTGTGATACATCCCCCATTCCCATTGCAACTGACTGGGGGGTCTTAAATTACTCCTTTTGGTGTAAGTAGAAAAGGAGTCTGAGTTGGGAGGACAAAAACACAAATCGCAAAGGACAATATTGACCAGCATTTTTCAAAGACGCTTTCTCCATCCCCCATAGGTCAACAGGTCTTTTAGGAGGCGTCCTGTGTAACGATGTCTCCTCCTTATGGAGTTGGTCCTGCTTCAGCTAAGTCGACAGAAATTTTATTTCTGTCTTCAGTGGGCCCGATGTGATCTTCCCACTAGCTGGCGCTGCTCCTGCTGCCCAGCCCCCGTGACTGGTGTTGTCTGACTCTCACGTCCATGCTTGTCATTCTGTAGGTTTTCCAAGCGATGGAAATGGGAACGACAGGTCGCAGCAGCCCAGAGGGAAAGGCCTTCCTGGTACGTTGTCTTCTCCGCCCTCCCGTTTTGTACGTGAGCGAGTCGGGCAAGGGGTCCCGAGGGCAGCCCAGAGCTGGCTGGCCCCTGGCTGCGTGGAGATGTTTCACAGGCTGCCACTGCCCAGCGATGACTGTGCACACTGCCCATGTGTGCGTTACAGCCCACCCCATTCCAGCCTATTACCTCTGGGGGATACGCTCCACTCTGACCTGGCTCTCCTTGTGCTCCCCTGTAATGGGGAGAAGCCAGGTCAGGAGGTATATGCATGCGCCAGGGATATGGAGGGAGGGCTAGGTGCTGGATTCCTTTCCCCACGTTTACATGACACATCTGCATTATCCCTTTACTTCCCCACAACCCCCAGCCAGCCACATCTTGACTTACACACCCGAGCGAGGCCGATACACTTCCTATGCGAAAACCCTGCACGCTCCCGCTGCATTGCTTAATGCGAGCTCTGATCCAGCTCCCCCTGCAATCAACAGGGCCACGTTCTGCCCCCAAGCAGCATGCAAACTGTGTCCTGGGCCAGGTGCTGTCAGTAACGGGGTCGGACTATCCCACACAGGCAGCTGGCCCTGGAAAAGCAAATAAATATTAGTGTCTTTGGAGCCGTACGCTCTTTCCTCATGCCTGAGAAGGTTTCCGTGACAGCTGCTGTGTAGCGGAGATCAGGAATTCACCAGGACAAGGAAGGGCAGACCCAACACACAGAGCTAGCGGAAGTACCTCCAGTGGTTCCGTGCACATCTGAGTACCCAGACATTTTCCTCTACCCCCACTGACAGCACACAAGAGGAGTCCTCTTGAGGAAAATTAAGACTTTCTGATGCAAAAAGGAATAGCCCCAGCACCAGCGGGGTTAATAAATTCACTTTAATCAGACGCGTTCCTGCTTTTATGAGGACTCCGGCATCCCGGAGCAGCTGGTGCTGCTGCAATATTTACAAACGGTGTGACAGTAACTGAGACTGAACCACATTAAAACACACGCTGCTGCCACACTGCGCAACAAAATCCCATCATTCACAGGCCTGAGCCCGGCCAGCCGTGAATTACAAAAAGGGATCGGGCCTCCCCGGCCGGCTCTTAAAGCAAGGGCCCTTTGGCCGGCAGGACACAGATCCCAAGGCGCTTTCTGAAAAACACTAAGGGATAGCCCCAGGGTCACAGCCACAGTTCCCCCTCTGCCGACCAGGCTCTAAATGTCAAAGGCAGGTGGGACGTGGCATTTGCTGACTGTGCTAGCTTAATGGCACTGCAGCCCCGGGGGACAGACTGATGCCATCTACTCCCTGTGTACTGCCAATGCACTCAGCCCCTGATCTCAGCTGCAGTGCCTGTTGTGCTAGGGGCTGTGCACACACCTGGCGAGAGAGAGTCCCTGCCCCACGGACCTTATAATCGACACAGAGAAAACAAATAAAAGGAGAGGATGTGACGCCAGGGTATGAAGCAGGGACCAGAGCGCAGGCTCACAGCGGCCAATCCAGAGGTCACAAGACGAGCAACACTTTTACACTCTGGCACAACACAAGTCTCCCATCCCACCTATCAAAGTGCGTGCACACACGAACGAGCAACACCTTTTACTCAGGCGGTAAATGGAGGCAGGGAGGTATTTTTTGACTTCAGCTATGAGGCCGCCCATTGGAAATGGCTCAGAAACACCGACCTAGACTATTCCTGCAAGTGTGCTGTGTTTTCGGGACAAGGGACTTCAGCTGGCACCAGCCATGCCTCTCCAGCACGTTCTACTTCCTTCCCCCAGGTAGGGTCTCCCCACCAATGCCTGCCTGGCAGGGACTGTTCCCAACCCGCACTGCCTTGTTCACTCCACTCACGGCTGAAGCTCAGGAATTGGTCTACCCCATACATGCTGAGCTCTGCTGTATCAATTTGCCGTCGAAGCTATAAAAGCTTCAGGCCTGGCCAAAGAGTTTGCAGGGCCCAAGGCAGTGTGTTAAGGTTGGCATCAATTTGCCATCGAAGCTATAAAAGCTTCAGGCCTGGCCAAAGAGTTTGCAGGGCCCAAGGCGGTGTGTTAAGGTTGACTGCACCGCATGGCCGGGCGGCTGTCAGCCAGGGCAGTGAGTGAGCAGGCGGGCACCGGGCAGCGCGGAGCCCAAGGCAACCACCTTGCTCGCCTAGCCCTAACGCCGGGCCTGGGAACCTCAGTGCCACTTAGCTCATTGGTGGGCCACGTCTATAGGATTTAGCCTGCATGCGTGGCAGGTGCCCTGCAGGATGAGAAAGATTCACTGTATTCTAGTCACAGGGATGTTTTCTTTATCCAAACAGGCCAGCCAGTTCAGATGCAGCCTTGCGAGCCGGTCCCAGTCATTACTTCCTACACTAACGAAGGTAGGTGGTGACCCAGCGAAAGCTGGTTTTCTGGAGCAGTGCAGCATTCATCTCTTATTTATGCTCAGACGAGAGAAAATCTGTCCAGAACATCACCACAGCTAGAGCCAAATACGAGAATGTTTCATAAGCCAACAGTAAAGGATGAAGAATTTGAAGCATCCCTGGGCTGGGCTTTCAGGAGTCTTAGGCCTGCTCTACCATTCGGAGTTTTGCCAGTATTGCTACTGGTTAAGAGTGTGGCTTTTTCTTTAACCTGACACAGCTAAGCAGGTTAAAGTCCTAGTGTTGGTGGCTTTATATTGACATGACTGGGCTTATCACAACCTGGCTAATGCTGCTTCCCCAAACCAGCATCAGCCCTTTCATACAAATCTAATTGCATCCACACTAGAGGGGTTTTCGGTATTGGCCCAACACCCAGCAAAACTCTCCTAGCGCAGAGCAGCCCCGATGAGAACAAGGAAGGTAACAAGAGCTTGGCCACTGGATCCGATTCACTCTCTCCATTGTGTAACGGGACTGTCTTAGGTTTGAATCCTCCTGCACATCTGTTCTATAATAAAACCTCCTTCAAACCTTGTTGGTCCTTCAAAAAGTGGGTCTTGATTAGGGGTGACACAGTTAATAAAATAATTCCCAAAAACAAGACTGCTTCATTCCTTTGGTTTTCAACTTTTTAAAAGCTTCCTGTGGAATTGCTCTCGTGCCTTTTTTAGTTGATTTCCCAAGCAGGTTTTCCTAATAAGCATTTCTAGTATAGCTAGGCACTATGTCTACACTGCAACACTATTTCGGGATAGCAAAGTATCCCAAAATAGCTATCCCGTGTCTTAACAGCAAGCCTGTTATTTATGGCTCGCTATTCCAACATCCCTGTAAACCTCATTCTACGAGGAGTAAGGGGCATTTCGGATTTCGCTTTATTTCAAAATTTGGCACTGTTCAGACAATGCCATATGACAAAATATGCTATTTCAAAATAGCATTGAAATAAGATACACACTTTGTGTAGCTCACATTGCGTGTCTTATTTCGAGATATGGTGCAGTGTAGACGGGCAATCAAGAGTAGCGTTGCTGGCAGCGCTTATCCCAGCCCATAGCACCTTCGGAGTAAAATAAGCAATAGCCAGAAAAGTGCAGCTGTCTACACTAGGGGCTTCTGTTGCCACTCCTCCTCACACCCGATGGACAAAATAACCCATGCCAGCAATGTCTGTAGTGTACCAGGGCCTAACTGTCCTGCATGTTGAGTTCTGAGCTCACAATACTGCATGATCCACATAGCACAATGGCCAGGCTGCAGCTAACTGCTTTCCTGCAAGGTCACTTCACTCTCGGAAATATCATCAGTGGTGTAGGTGTCCACGGCTAGAACTTCATCACACCAAGCAGCTCAGGCCAGGGGAAAGCTGACACTTCCCAGGTGCGATCTTTTCCTGCAGAAGTTAATGGCATAAATGGGTCTGTTTTTCAAGCGTTGCTTCTTGTTTATATTTTACTCTTGGGAAAAGGAAAATCAGTCAGAGGTCTGTGCTTTTGGTAATGTCTCCATCTCTTTAAAAACTATTTCATATGGTAATGAGTATCTTAATTTATTCTGAAGTTGGGGTCCCTACTGTAGTGCATTATGCTCTGTTAGACCAAGTGAACCTTTATCATTTGGGTGGTTACAAGTGTTTAGGAAGTGCCCGCTGCACTAGAACTTAGGTGCACGTAGAACACAGAGTTACATCACAAGTCCCATTTCCTAGTCATGGTCCCTTCAGCACCTCTCTTCCAAACACGGCAAGAGTCCAGAGGAGAGCCACAAAAGCGGTCAAGGGATTATAAACCCGAGTGACAGGAAAGGTTAAGAAATGAGCATTCTTTGTCTTGGGAAAAGACAACTGAGGAGGGACTGGATCAGAGACATCAAATACATGGAAGGGCTGTTATAAAGAGGACAGTGATCGATTGTTCTCCATGTCCAAGTGATGGGCTTAACCTTCAGTGAGGGGTATTGGGGTTAGATCAGCGATCCTCAGTCCCTGGCTCGCAAGATGCGTGTAGCTCCTTGAGGTGTAGCCCACGGCTTTTCAAGGCTCCTTCCCTGAGTGCCACGACCAGCTGATTTGCGGTGGGGGAGGGAGCCCCCACTCCTCGCCCTTCCGCTCAGAGCACAGTTAAAAAACAATTAACCCCTGATGTGGGCAGGAAACGACACATGGCAAAAGCAACACAGAAGCTCAAGGATGAAGACGTGTACAGACCCTTTGGAGGGGATTAGAAACATGATGATCTCTTTGTGCCCAGTAGTGGGAGTACATGCTCAATATGCAACAGTTCCAATATCCAATTCCAAACATCTAATTGAATCAGCTGTTGCATTACTGGTCATCCAAATTTCAGCATCCATTTTCCACCAGGAAGCAAACTCAGAAAAGGGACTTTACCTCAAACAGAAAAGAGCAAAACAAGAAAACGCTTCACGTTAACACAAATGAAAAAAAGTCACAAGGGCATCATACAAAAGGTGAAAAGACTTCAGCTGTCTGATTCAACGATGCTGAGACAGGCATCGGATATCTCAGCATGCATCGAAAATATCCTCAAGGCAAGGTTGTCTTCTTCTGAGTTTGTTAGCCTTGCTACGGATGAAAGCCTGGACATCAATGACATCCCCCAGTTACTGCTATTTGTCATCGCTACAGCTGCTGATCTTGACATGATGGAAGAATTATTAGACATGGTTCCTCTGCGGAACCGGAGGGGAAATTAAAATCGCCATAGTGGATACCTTGAAAAAGTTGCTTGGTAAGAACGCCGATGAGAATGACCTTTTTTTCATATCATTGCCTCGTGCCTTAGGGAGCATTATTTGTAAGGTTTTGTTCTCCAAATGATGTGATGCCAGACATAGTACAATTCACCAAGTGTGTCAGGGCGCAGGCTAGGAATCACCAGCAACCTCGGCTTTCCTGTGAAAAATTTGGCAGCCAATGTGGGGCTCTGGTTTTGCACACTGAGATGAGATGGCTTTCACGAGGGCACACGCAAGCACATTTTGCGGCTGTTTTCGAACCACTCAAACTTTTCGTTGTTGGGCGTGGAGAAACGGATCGATTTTCATTCTTGGGCACCTTAGCCTGGTTGCTCTCCATTGCACTTCTGTGCAATGTCACTCAGCTTGTAAAATGAGTTAACTGTGAAGCTGCAAAGCAAGAATAAGACTGTGTACAAACTGTACATGGCTGTCAAAACATTCTGTCAAATTGCAGTGACTACACAGCAGTGTCAGCAAAGGGGGCTGCCGTCTTTTTGCAAACATGCAGAAAGTGATCAAGAACAAGCTGAACAAGAATTATGGTGCTGCCAGATTCCATGATTTTAAGAATTCTTACAAACTTTTGCTTCTGGTGACTGATCTATTGCTCATTGAGATGGCAGAAATGGAAAAAAACCAGCTCCCAACTCAGAGATGCAGATCCAGGGATGGAACCTGGGGAACTGAAGAGCTGTGATGAACTGGCACACCAGTTCTCTCAAAATACAGGGGTGAAGTTCTGGAAATGAGGAAGCTGAGTACCCAAAGGGAAAGGTGAAACCTGGAGCTTGGGCTCTGCGTTATTTACCACTCCACAAATTTGTGCGACATCTGCAAAGTTTATCAGCAATGATTTTGTGTTTTCTTCCAGGTCATTGATAAAAATGGTTAAACAGAGTACGGCCACAAACTAATTCCTGCAGAACCCTTCTGGAAACACCTTCTCATCCCCCTCCCCCTCCACACACACACCATGATTCCCTTTTGACAACTACATATTGAGTCCTCACTTAGCCAGTTTTGCATCCATTTAGTCCCGAAAAAGATCACTGCATAACACAAAAGTGTGTCTCCTTCACCCACAGAAAAGGGCGCACTAAAGCCCCTCCCACTTTGTGTCTCAGAGCCTGGGACCCAGACGGCTACAACTCTGCAAGTGTCAATTTTACATAATTCTGGTTTTGCAATCAAAACGTTGTGCGGTATTGGAGTCAACACACACAACACCGTCTTCAGACCAAGCGACACACGTTTTCAATACGCTGTTAAGGAAAGGCGGGGGAATGGTTTAATATCTGTCACAGCGGGAATCTGAAGTGCATGGGATCATATTTGATTTGCTTGTTTCGCTCTTTTGTCTCTTCCATTCGTAGTGTGGCAAATGTGTACACGTCATTTAAAAATAACAGCACAGATATATCTTCAAAGCAGGCGTGTGGAGAAACCATTGCACTGAGGCATCAGCCAACAAAGGACACTCTGGTTTTCAGAGAGAAGAAAGAGGCAGGGGAGGGATAGTTGGACAGGAGGAATGTTGAGCTAGAAAGTGGACACTCTGTGAGTTACATTAGTATTGGTAGGATGTTAATGAATGTGGTTTGCATTTGGATATTATTGTTCTTAAAATGTTTTCACTTGCTAGTTGCCTTTTTTATTCCTTATCCACTTCTGACTCTTTTCCTTGCAGGAACTCATGTGACTGTCGAGGTACATCCTAGAAATACCACCCCACAGCTGTTCAAGAAATTCTCCCTTGGAAAAGGTACGTCGCTGTTTTAAACCATTTGTGCTAGCTAAAATATGCGATCTCAGTGGCACTCGACAGCAGAGAGACAAGGGGCTTGTTTGTTTACCACAGCATGAAACCTGCTAGCTCGTTGTCTGTGCATATTAACGATGAAAGTAACGGCAGGGTGGCACTGGTCAAAGTGTGATTTCCCAATGTTCAATACACTGTCCCAGGCACACCCAATGACAGTTCCCCTCGCTACTTCCACGCCGCATTTCAGCTTCCAACTGCCAGCTGTTTTAGAATTCTAAAAGTATCTTCCCTTGTCAAATCCCTCGTACTTCAACACCGATGAACCTAAACCCTTTTCACTTACATTTAAAATGAAGTTTCTGCTTCAAAGACCAACGGGGGAAATTCAGCGCAATAGATGAAAGTTTCTGAAAGTTGTGCACAACCCAAAAGTGGAGGATTGAAAGGACAGGTCTATATAAATGTAACTAGAAGAGCCACTCCCATGGCAATCCTTCTCAAGCGTTCCGGTGCAATTTCAATGCATTCCCTTGCCAGGACTGTTACGGGGTGTTTCCGGTGCAGAATGGCACTTGTATTCTGGGCCGAGGTGACAGCATTTTAGTAACGGGTGAAGTGATTTCTGTAGTCAGACGCTACCACATTTTGTCCTCATTTACACCCTCTGTAGCCAGCAGATCATGGTGGCTAGAAGGGTGCAGGTGAATGTTGATCACACCGGACAAAACATTTTGGAATTCTTCAAGAAAAGAACCATTGAAATGTAAGACCCCACTCCTGTTGTGGGTCCCCAGTTTCAAATAAAATGACAAATCTGAGTCCACCTATTTAATATTTTCCCTGCTCCCAAAGCAGACTCAGACTGGCCTCGACTCAGTTAAAGAGCGGAAGGGATGCACTTTTTCCCCTGATGGGAAGTAGCCTGGATAGAGACATTGTCCAGCTCTGCACCCTCTACATTCTGATCCGTCACTCTCGACAACTGGGCGGTTCAGAACAGTGTGCCGGGGTGGGGGGACAGGAAAGAAGGAAATGCTCCGTGCATCTTGAGTCGGAACCAGCACAGCCACTGAGGACAAATGAAGTTGTGCTGTAGGCTTTAACAGGGAAGAGATGGAGCCCGGGGTGCTTGCAGAGGGAGAGGTGCTTGCCAGGATGACCGGTGGAATTTCCTTGACTAATTCTGTCTGGGGGTTATTGCAGGAGTCTGCAAGCTGCCCAATCTGACAGGCCAGGATAACAGAGGTGAGGCTGCTTGTTTACCCTAGATTTTGTGAGGGTGAAAACTCTAATCCGGCTTCAGGGGAGTTGCTCTAACCTAAGTGGGGTCCAATATTGCCCATTACAGGGCGTTGGGGCATGGGAGAGGGAGCCAACGGCGGAGTTCAGAAGATGAGTGCGCTGTGCAGACGGGGGATGTGTGCCCATCTCCCTGCTGCGCAGGTGCGCGTTGTGCTGTGCCAGCACCTGGGTCGTGCATCACAAGGAGCACTCGGTAGTGAGAACAAACCCCCCACAACTACAGGCATCTGACGTTGGGTGGCTGCATCACCCCTAACACAGCTGAGCCGTAGCCCACGCTGGCAAGGTGCCGTTTAACACCTGTGCTGCAGGCGCTAGCATGGGCTAGTCTCGCTCTGAAATGCACTTTTCCTTCTGCCCTACGTAAGCCAGGAGGTTGGCTTGCGGGAACAAAACGCTCCCAGCTTTCGTCCCGCACTAGAAGAGGTCTCACTGCTTGTGAACGTGCTACCTGGCACCTTCATGGTCATAGGCCTGGTGGAGGGGAAGCGGGCTCTACTCATCTCTGGCCTGCATGCAACAGGACATGAACCACAGGGCTAAGGACGAGGAAATACAAGCCTGTTTTCCAGCCCATAGACACGCTACCTTTCACTGCCCTTCTCTACTGTTCATCTCACCCCCGTTTGACAATCTTCTAGGTTTTCAAGAGAACAGGAAGAGCAGAGCGCCCCTGCCCAGGGAAAAAGACCTGCACGGTAAGTATTTGCTGTCTTGGAGTTCTCTGTCATTAACGCAGCTCAGCTTCCTCACTGCAGGGAGCGTAACCCCGCGGGGGAACTTGCTTTAGAAGTAGCGCCTTTGCCCATCACAAAAGTGCTCTGGCACCAGCTAACAGCTATCGCAGAGAGCATCGCCATTTCATTCCAGTCGCTCTAAAGATGCCTGGCTTTGCACACTGCTCTGCCCTCTGGGATCGGCAGCCAGGGCAGTTCGGTGAATGGCTTGCCTGGCTCACCCAGGCTGCATATGCCCGAGCGCTGAGAAGTCTACTTTGCAAATGGGCCTGCAGCACATTTCTTACCGCCACGGTCCCGGCGCTGGATTGCATGAGTGAGAGCCGCTCCGGGGGCTGTGGCGAGCCCTGGCAGCCAAAGACAAACCCGGCTAACCGATTTGAAAACCAAGCCCAGGCGGCTCCCAGGAGGCAAGAAGTCATTAGCAGAGCCAACCAGAACAAGAGCCTTTCGAGTGTGTCAATCTGCCTTCTTGGTCACTGTGACAGCCCCTTTCCATCGCACAGCCGGAGAGACAACCAAGCCATGTAGCGACACACATGCTGTGTGCTCCTGCACTGTGTTAGGCCAGTTCAGCCCAGGAGGTAGCAGAAGATTCCTGGGGCGTATGACTGGATTGGCTGGCTGCTTTCCCATCGTAAGGAAGGTGCTGAAGGAAGCCTAGGAGAGCAGTGGGGAGATTTCTGCTCCTGTAATTGGCCAGGAGCGTGGGGGGCCGCTGAGAACGAATGCACCTTGGGAGCACACCTGCCACCCCCCACAGGGGCTGACTCAGTCTACTTGGGGCCATCCGTCCTGACGGGTGGCCTTATGGCTTCCCCTTGCAGGAGTCCAAGGTTGCAGCCAACAAGGCAGTGTCCCAGCGTTAGGGGTGTCGATGCTGCAGCCTGCATGGTGCATGCTAACAGTAGGTGAAGCTGCTTGTCCTCACCACCTCCTAACAGAGAAGGGGCTGTGCTCGCGCAACCCTCGCAGAAGGCAGCCTGGTCTGGCCAAGGCTGCCTGGGGACAGACCTTCCTGCCTCCCACGGAGGGGGCTGGTGCAGACGGGAGCAAACAAGTGCTCTGTATGTGAGCAAATGGTGTCCCGTCCCCCTCCAGCAGTGCCTAGGCCAACGCTGCCTCTCTACGCTTTTCCCTCCGGGTGCAGAGTGAATTGTTATATGCCCCAAGGCAGGTGCGAACGTGCCCCGCCAATGGAAACAAAGCCCCGCTGTGCTAATCAGCTGGTGGCATCTGAATCGCTCCTGCGGGGCTGGGCTGCCCACACACTCAGCTTCCGGGGAACACTGGCTAGGCCACACCCGGAGACGGCAGGGACGGCTAGCGCGAGGGCCACAAGAGCTGCGTATTTCCGCTCCGGCAGCTTTTGCTATGCAGGAGACACCTTCAATCTTTGTGCTTGCCGGAGCACTCCCCACCTCCGGAGACACAGCAGCCCACAGAGCAACGTTCCCCATCCAGGTGCTCCACCTCTTCGGTAACATGGCCTGGTCTGTCTTCAAGCCCTTGCAGCTGGGTGGCGGCCCAGTTACCACTCTGCATGCTGTCCCCTTAGCTATGGATGGGCACTCGCCCAGTAAAAACTCTGCTTCTCTTTATACCCCCTTCCCTCCTGCCTCCCTGCAATGCAGCAGCGATAAAGCAGTAGCTGGGAGGGTCTCCTAATCCCAGCATGCCAGAGGGCAGGATTCTTGTAGCTTTGCCTTGCTAGAATGGCCTGTTCAGTGCTGGTTGCAGGGGGAAGGGAGGGAATTTTTTTTAAACAATTCAAATTAATTGAAGGGGGTTCTGCAGGGGTCTGTTTTAGGACTGGTTCCGTTCAAGATCTTCATCAACGACTTAGATGATGGCTGAGAGAGAGCGCATTTACAAAGTCTGCAGAGGATAATAAGCTGGGAGGGGTTGCAAGTGTTTTTGTAGATAGGATTACAATTCAAAATGATCTGTACAAATTGGAAAAAGAGTCTAAATTACATAGGATGCAATTCAACAAGGACAAACATACAATACACCACTTCGGGCGGGACAATCCGTTTCACGCACACAGAATGGGAAGGAGCCCTGCAGAAAAGGCTCTGGAGATGGTGAGCCACAAGCTAAATGTAAGTCAGCAGTGTGATGCCGCTGCAAACAAACAACAAACAGCAAGCGTCATTCTGGGACACACTCACAGGAGAGTTGTCAGCAAGAAACGGGAGGTATTCCTCAGCGACACAGGCCTGATTTCGGATTCCCTTGCTCCTCCTCAGTCAAATCTTAAATCCGAATCCTGCAAAGGCTTTTATGTATCAGTCACTTTACTCACTGCCGTAACATAGAATCATAGAGCTGGAAGAGACCTCAGGAGTCATCAAGTCCAGCCCCCTGCTCTAGGCAGGACCGATCCCAACTAAATCAACCCAGCCAGGGTTTTGTCAAGCCGAGACTTAAACACCTCTAGGAATGGAGACTCCACTACTTCCCTAGGGAACCCAGCCCAGTGCTTCGCCACCCTCCTAGGGAAATAGTTTTTCCTAATATCCAACCTGGACCTCTCCCACCACAACTTGAGCCCATTGCTCCTTGTTCTGCCATCTGTCACTACTGTGAACAGCCTCTCTCCATCCCCTTTGGAACCTCCCTTCAAGAAGTTGAAGGCTGCTCTCAAATCCCCCCTCACTCTTCTCTTCTGCAGACTAAACAGGCCCAACTCCCTCAGCCTCTCCTCACAGGTCATGTGCTCCAGCCCCCTAATCATTTTGGTTGCCCTCCGCTGGACCCTCTCCAATGCGTCCACATCCTTTTTGTAGTGGGGGGGCCCAGAACTGGACACAATATTCTAGATGTGGCCTCACCAGAGCCGAATAAAGAGGAATAATGACATCTCTGGATCTGCTGGCAATGCTCCTCCTAATGCACCTAATATGCCATTAGCCTTGGCTACAAGGGCGCCCTATTGACTCATATCCAGCTTCTCATCCACTGTCATCCCCAGGGCCTTTTCTGTAGAACTGCTACTTAGCCAGTCGGTAACCTCGTTGATTTCACTGGCCCTATTTCCCTGAGTAAAGGGACACCTAGGCTCTACAGGTGTTCTCGGGCAAATCATGCCAGATACTTTACTGAGACTACCTGAGGGCTAAGGATGTCAGAAGCTAGCTCTTGCTGAATACTGTGAGACCAGCACTAGGCCTCAGAGGCTAGAGTTACCCGTTTGGGTAGCTGTTGGACGTCATCTCCTATTTCTCCTGCCCATTTTCTGTAGTGCAAAATGTGCAAAGAGGCACTCCCAGCTCAGGCAAGCATGGCGCTGCTCTGACTGGCTTAGCTGGGCGGGACGGAGAAAGCAGACAGGCCAGGGTATTCACGATCGTCTCGTGCATGTGGACTGTCTTCACTCGGGGGTGGGAGGCTCTGCTCTTGCATGTGGCCAATTCCAACGCTTCTCCTTCCTGATGTGATTGTGTTGTGTTTCCAGCGTACCCATGGGACAACTCCAACCTGAAATCCATTCCTTTAGACCTAAAGCAATTTGAGAAATTGGATGCCTACGCATCAAAGGTACGTCTCCTCGAACTCCCGCTTCCCACAGGGACGTGCTGTCTTCAGCCAGGTGGGACCTTGCGCCCTGGCAGGCCATGGTGCTCCACAGGGGAAGGAGATGGTGCAGTCTTTTGGTCTGACCTAGAATTTCAGAACTTCTATCCCCAAAACTATCTGGAAAATACCTTTCCCCTGGTCATTTTAACTGGGGAATAGCCTACTCAGGAGAAAAGTGGGATGGAAAATATCAGCCACTCTCCGTGCAGACTTACAGCTGCAAATCTCCACTGAGGAGTCCTCTGAAGAGGATGTTTAAAAAAGAGACAGAGCTCCATTGTTAAGAGACAATAGAAAGGGTGTGCAGGGGCAAGTGGTGATACATGGCCATCGGCTCTTACAACACACAGTGACATTGATGAAGATTGTGTGTGTAGAGCTACAGGCAAAATATGCTTTGGGCAGGAGGTGGTACGCACAGACGCATCGATACGGTCCTCTGAAGGGCTGGAAAGGGCGGCTATTCTGGGACAAAAAGCTCCCCTTTGCCATGAAGGTCAAATATGCCCGGCCCACAATAATCCTAGATCTGTGTTGCCTTTCAAAGGGACTAGTCTCATAAGCAGAATTGTCCAGAGGTGCTGGCAGACGTGCAAGAACAAAAGCAATGTCAGAGGCAGAAGGGGGGGGGGACTCCTATCCCCTCACGTTTGCTCACTTGCACCTTCTAACCCTCCTGCTCCTTACAAACAGCTGAGCAACAAGAACAGCCCAGAGGAACTGGTGGAAGCCCTGCTCCGAGAAGCGCGGACTGATCTGGAGAAGGTCAGAGCCATCTGGATGTGGATATGCCATCACATAGGTAGGCAGAGGTCTCGGACTCCCACCGCACTGGCTAACAGTGCTGCTGCTATCATTCTCACTGTACTGTGATTGTGCCTTGTCGATGGATTTCTAGGCAGCACCTGAGGAGGAGGAGGAGGAGGAGGGAGCCCACTATTCAAACCTTGTTACAACCTCGGTCATAGTTTGGCATGTGTTTTAAATGAAGGCTTGGACGTCTCCCTTCCCATCCTTCACTGCACCTCTAGGGATGGAGATGCCACCCCCTCCCTAGGGAACCCAGCCCAGGGCTTCCCCACCCCCACCCACCTAGGGAAAAAGCTTTTGCTAATCTCCAACCTAGACCTCCCCCACTGCAACTTGAGACCATTGCTCCTTGTTCAGCCTAGCTCCATCCTCTTTGGAACCCCCCTTCAGATAGCTGAAGGCTGCTACTGAACCCCAGTTCTCTCAGCCGCTCCTCATAAGACAGATGCCCCAGCACCCTACTCATGTTTGTTGCCCTCCGCTGGACTCTCTCCGTCCGCATCCTTCCAGTAGTAAGGGGCCCAGAACTGGAGGCAATGCTCCAGATGTGGCCTCACCAATACAAATAGAGGCGTAGTCACTTCCCTCGATCTGCTGGCAGTGCTCCTACTAATGCAGCCCAAGATGCCGTTAGCCTTCTTGGCAACAAGTGCACACTGTTGACTCGCATCCCACTTCTCGCCAGCTCACGGAGGAGGTTTTAGAAATCACGGCTCTAGCACTTCCCTTCTCTCATGTCCCAGGGGCAGGCTCTAAGGCACTTATATTAATGAAGTCTTTCAGATGAAAGTCAAGTTGCAGCATTTCATCAGCCTGTGCAGCATTCCCACGCAGGAGGAATGTTACATGAGTGCCGATAGCTTCTTTTAGCCCTTTGTCAGAAAGATAGCGTCATATTTCTAAAGACTTATAGACACAGTCGAGGTTATTAGGTATCAACACGAACTGTCCTGGCCACCTTCTCGAGCTTTGCCTAGAATAGCATTGCTTTGTTTCCATGTATTTGGAAAATGATATTTCCTGCAGCTCATACTATAAATTCCCTACCCTCATTTATCCTTGAGTAAATAAATGGCTAATGTTATAGTTTGGTGGCTGAACCAAAAAGACCAAAAATTGGTTCATTTTGAATCAAAAGCTAATAACTTTTCAGGCTGAAAACTAATAAAACCAAAAGAGAAACAGCCCAAATGAAACAAAATTAAAAAAGAAAAGTTGGGAGGGGAACATGTGGCTCCTGGGGTGGGATGGGAACCTGCCATCCTCTGCTCCGCAGGCAAATAAATGCCCACAAAGGAACCACTCCACCACCCTACCTTCAGGCTGTCCCTTATATCCTGTGTTGGTGGGCCGGTGGCTCCAAGGGTGGGGCTCGAACCCACACAGAAGCATCACCACCAGCTGCCCCATTAGGAAGGCAGGATAAGTGACACCCTGATGGTACGGCAGTGTGGTGGGTTCTGCAGTGGCCTGGGGGTTAGGGAATTGGCCTGGAGAGCCCCGTGTTGTGGGCTTGAGCCCTGTCCCCTCCCCCCACACAGAGCATCACCACCTGCCCCATCAGGAAGGCTGGATAACAAGGGATACCCTGATGGTGGGGTGGGTTCTCTCTCAGATGTTTTGATCCAGAACTTGTTTGTTGAGCGTTTTTCATATTGCGCACGCACACACACCCCTCCCCCCCCAAAACACAACATCCTTCAAGACTTTTTTCAAAGTACTGAAATCAACTATTTTGATTTTTTTTTAAAAAAACTATTTGGGGAGGGCAAAAATTTGCCAGATCTTACCCAAATTCATGAATAGCGTTAGTGCCCTGGAAAGGTTGACAATTGCCCAGCACTAGCCCCACTGATGAGTGATCCACTCACAACAAGTTGTTCCGCATTTTCCATTGATTAGATACTTTCAAGGATTGCTCTCAGATACTGGAGACTTTACATTTTACCCTTCACGGTCACAATCCTGCATCTGGAGCTGTATGGAGATGGATCCTGGAGGAGACACACTGATGGCCCATTCGGCACGGACGGCAGAATCGGAGCCTAGCTTTGCAACTTAGCTCCTCAGGAGATACCTGCACAGGCATTCACAGAGGGCACATCTTTGTACAGCTCCTAGTACAGATCATTTCTCGTTATGTTTCCTAAAGATGAAACTAACCCAAATAGTTTCTATTGCTCACCAAGCCCTTTTCGCCAGGCTTTGGGAGGAACTTTACTTTGTCTTTATTTCTGCAGAATACGACGTTGTGGCCTTCCATAACAAAGCCCAGCGGCTGTGTGAGCCACAGGACGGCTTTCAGAGGCTACGCTGCGCTCTTCCATCAAATGTGCAGGTGAATAACTTCACAAACATGCAGCCCCCGGGAGAGAGAATGTTAATTGTCATTTCTCCATCCCCCTTTACGTCACCTAAAACGACTTTACACAGGACTCAAAACTCTCTTTCAAAGCTACGCTGTGGAATAACAGCAAGTCCTCAAAAGGTCAATTTTGCTTCCCCCTCCCTCCCCAGCATAATTTACTTTGCGCCATCTGCTGAGCTTCGCATTGCATTAACATAATGGCAGATGAATACATGGAGATAATTTAGTTAGAAGAGGCTGTGGGTTTTTCCTTTGAGTAGCTGTGCATCTGAAGGTTAAAAGAATGGCAAGGCTGAAATAGTGGAGAACGCTATCTGCAACCAACTCGCATGCAAGAGGTATTCACTGAAGACCAGGCACAAGCCTTTCCAATATTCTCAGAGTAACAACCACCAGCTCTTCTAGAAAGCTGCCATCAGTAGATCTCAGAGCACATTACAAAAGAGGTCATTTCACAACCACAATCCGTTCCCCTTCCGTGTGCCAGCAGCCCTCTTGACTACGGTGAGCAGGGCATGGTCCTTAACGGATTTAGAGTAGGGCTTGACAACCAGTTGAATATCAAGCTCATGTAAAAAGCAGCTTGTTTCACTGCAGAAGCTATACACCCCTTGCACGGGAATATAGCACAAATAGCTTCTCCAGTGCACTTCTCTGTCCCAGTGGAGAAATAACACAGCTCTTGTGCAAGGTGAGCCCTGGGAATCACATCTGATGCCCAAATGTATGCAGTAGTTTGGTTTTATGAACCATTGATGGTGATAAGCAATTCATTTTGCATTTAGCTGAAACATGGGCCTCTACAGGGTCCCCTTCCAAATGAAACCCATTCCATCAACTTCTCAACACACTGATCCCCGTTTTCTGTAGGCCTGGAGAAATCTAATTTTAATTGGTACGTCAGTAATCACTGACTTCTCTGCCTACCCAAGACCCCTGGGAAGCACATTCCTTATTAATAACTAAAGTTTACAGGGCGAGAAACGCACAATATTTTAAAAATATTGTCAAAGATGCTACTGTAGAGAATGCTTCTGGCCAGCAACACCGTGTTCCGGGGGTCTATTCTGCTTTCTTAAAGAAAACAGTGAAATTACGATACACAAAAGGATTTTATAATTGCCTCTTATGTAACTTCTTGCTAGCTCTTCCAAAGACAATGAGAGAAATATACTGAGAAGCAGCCATTTTGTTTATTAAAAAAAAATTCATCTTCCCAGGGGTATTTGTATTATTCACAAGCTCCATTCCTCTACTCGCTGCTGAAACAGTGTCATCCTTCCTCATTCCTGCAACGATGCTCGTCCTGTGATTTTACATACTTCCCCCCCCCCAATGTATCCAGCCTGTTTTGTCTGTATCGAGTGCCAGCTGGATTGTGGCCCAGTGCAGTCACCTCCTGGCAGACAACTGTTACCTCTTTTCTCTCCAGCATTTGACAGAGCGCTCCAGTGAGAAGGAGAAATTGGTAGTGCATTCCTTTTGATGCAATTTTGTTTATTTACAAAGCCTGTACAAAGTCCTATTCCCCTTGAACACAGCGAGGGAAGAGAAAAGAAAACAAAACCATACCAGTTTCTTTGCTGGCCGTTTCAAGTCTAAAAGCTTTTTTCCCTCTCAGCCTCAAGGTCACATTGCCAGCCTTCTGCTACCGCTGGCTTGGCTTTCTGTCACCGCTTCCGCCTGTGTCCTCTCTCTCATACACACACAGACCAAAATAGCTCCACCAATCAAAGCCCTAACCCCCTGTATTTGAAACCTGTTGGGCCACATGACTGCTCCTCTTCAGCATATGCATAGGTCTGTGGTCTGGGCGCTCCGGCTGTAGCCAGCTGCTTAGAATGGTTTCTGGACATTTACCCTGGATTTAAGGCAGAGGCCATGCCCAACCCACAGCAAAGGCTAACTCAACCGCGCTTTTCCTCTGCTTCTGATGCCACTCGCTGATAGTCCTTCTAGCCAGAGCTCCTCATTACTGCCTCTTCTCCCTCCTTGGACACAAGTCAGGTCTTCGATCAGATGCCTCTTCAGCTGGCAAGCCCTGACCGGATGAAAGTCCCATAGCAGGGCAGAGTGAAGGCCAGGGCATTCTTAGGTGGTTAGTACTGGGAGGCCAGTACCCAAAGGCCAATTTTCAACAAATCAAACATTTTTGGCAATGAATGCAAACATGCATTTGACCAATCCTTCAGCCACACTGAATTGCCCAGCATTAGCTTCTTGGGTGGCAGCCAGCTGGACGCAGGTGGCTGACTTTCTGGGACCACTGGAAACCCATTGGGTGTGACTATAAGACACACCAACTTAGGAGAGCCTGAGCAGAGACACGGACAAGACTCAACATGGCTAGCGTGAATGCACACAAGCATGTGCACTTCCCGAGTTGCAATGCAATCCATTTCAGCAGAACCCACTAGTCTCCAGTGTATAGGAAAGAGCATTCGCAGCCATACAACTCTTCTCCTTTTCCTCTCCACTTATTCCATGTCATTCCTCTCCACTATGGGCTCCTCCCCTACATGCCATGTACTGTTTCAGTGGTCTTTCAGCAGCATTTCTCTCCCCTCCTATCCCTTTTTTTTTTTTTTTTAAGAAAAAACTCACAAAAACAGAGCACAGAATTGAAAGCAAAGATGTGCCATTGAGATATATAAGGACAATGTCACATTTTCCACATTAGTCACCATGGTCTCCATCTTCTTTTTAGCACAGGCCAGGATCTTATTGCTTTTAATTCTCTCTAGGAGGTAGCCGGATTAGTCCCTAGTCCTGTGGCATCTTAGAGACTCACACAAGCATATATTACTGCATCATGAGCTTCTGAGGGCAAAGCCCACTTCCTCGCAGATGTTTCTACTCAACTATCCACAGAGATGGCATCAACAGACACAAACAACTTAACCATTTCTTCCTGTCCATGTTACGTTGCACTTAATGTCATCGTCTACCATCTTATTGTCCAGTCTTCTAGCTTTGCTGGGTGTTTCTTGGATTCCTCACAATTCCTACTAATCCCGTACAATTTAATTCATTTGTCTCTCATTTAAATGACACATGTAAGAGACCTGTTTTGTCCATCTTCATGCCAGCACCGGGCTGTTCCTATATTTGCCCAGTCCATTTTTAAAAGGCTCTAGCAGTCTTGCATCCACCATTCCCCTTCGGAGCCACAAACCCAGTTTCTCTCACCATTGCGATAGTTTTACTAATTTCCTCCTAAATGGGATTGCAGGGGTTAGCTGTGGGCAGAATATGACTCTTGGCCTTCAGTTTAAACATGTTGAATGATGGGATTTTCAGCGGGCCTAAGGGAATTAGATGCCCACCTTACCTAGACTACTTTGCAACTCCTACCCTCAATATTCCTTCAAGTCATTGAGCCAGCTCCTGAACTCAGTTATTCCAGTGAAAATCCAAGCTGTCTCCATTTGCATCAATAGAGTACTCCAGATTTACTGCCAGGGAACAAAGCACATGATCATGGACTGGCAAAGACATTGTAGATCACCTTGTAAGGTCTTCTGCACCATCGATAAGGCTCCCAATGCAATTCTCCTTCCAGGCTTTACCAGCTTATTGATTAATACCTCCGTGACAGGCCATCCCTCAACACCTCTAGGGTACGGTCGGTCTTTGCCATGCCAGATATAAGCACCAGTTTAAGAAAGGTTTACTCACGTGTACCCAGAATTCTCTCTTAATTTTAGGCCTTTAATCCTGATCACCTTATCTCCCAGATAATACAAAGAGTCCCTGCCCTTTAATGGATTTACATTGGGGTAGCATGTCCCACCTCACCTCTCTGGTCTGAGCTCCTTCATAGAATTAGGGATTAGGGTTGGAAGAGACCTCAGGAGGTAATCCACTCAAACCCCGTGCCCAAAGCAGGGCCAACCACAACCAAACTTCACTGGCTCTCAAGTCACCACGTTCCAGTTTTAGTACTACTGCTGTCTCCTATCCTTCCCTAAAACTGGCCCTAGCGTAAGGCCTACTCAGGATGACAGGAGCCCTGCTCAAGGACCCCAGGACTCTGCACACAACCACAACACAAATGCATAATCCAGACTGAGGTTTTAGCAAACCTATGTGTAATACTGCCTTACCACCACCCTAACTTTACAGATTTCTTTATAGATCACAAAGATTCTGCTCTGTTGTGAAGCAGCATCACACTGAATTCACGGGCAGTGCATAAGTTATCCACCTAAAATTTCTTTATATCACCTACTTTTAGCCAACTATCCATCCATCATTTTGTAGCGCTTATTTCTGCCATATGAATCCTTTGCATCTCGCTGAGTTAAATTAACGTTCAGCAGATAATCTTATTTCTACAGTAGACATCATTTACCACTTTAAGTATCTACTCCATTTAGTACAAGACTTTTCAATGAACCTGAAAAATTTCAGTGCCAGCCTATTCGATGGACAATCTTCCACTTAAATAAAGCAAATCTGGAATTGCCAGCGGTTTAGATCCCATTCATTCTCCCATAGCACAGATACCGATTCATGCAAAATCGATTATATTTTATTTTCATAACAATATCTAGTGGGTTGTCGGCATTAAAAATAGATTTTCCCCACAGCCTCCTTACTCCACTCTCAGAAAAAAACAAACTCAGAACTAGGGAGGTTTAAAACCAATTTCCCTCCATCTAGGAAAAATCCAGGACATATTATTGCAACATCAGAAATCTGGAATCACTTGGTTCAGAGACTGATAGCACCCATCTTGATGGCTGTTTCTGATTTTGGGTAACCTTGGAAGAGACTCCAGTGAGTAACACAATGGAGGAAATCAAGAATGTTCTGTTGTTGGAGTGGATGTAACACTACCCTAGACTGAGGAAGCCCCCAAGGAATAGAAATGAAGAAACTGTCTCCTAAAACAGATGCGATGCACTGCCCAAGCCCTCTGGAAAAGGCGCGGTTGAGAGCTTCAGAGAGCAGTATCGTTCATTGCGAGCAAGGAGCGCACACTGTGCAGCAGTCAGAGGAAAGGGCTGAGTGACTACAGGATTTTGAGTTCTAACGCTGATGGAAACACTCGTTTTCATGGATTACCCATGTGCAGCTCCATGCACTGAACTGTATAACAATGAAAAGCCCCCCCCTTCCCTCTCCCCCATATGAATAACAAACTGCTTTGTAATAGCTTCCTTCCCTCAGCATTGCAGGTGTGCAGAGCATGAAGTTGTCAGGATTCTCAAAGGGGTACAGTTACAGACCCGGACAGTCCTTAACGGAGAACAATGACCACGCCTGGAATGCAGTTTACCTTGATGGAAGCTGGCATCTGCTGGACAGCACCTGGGGAAGTGGCTCAGTTGACGATTCATGCAGAAGCTTCACCTTTCAGTAGGGTACCATTTGCTACGGGATCCTCAGGCCTGGGTCAACACAGGGCCTGGAGGGAGCGGGGCAGTGCTGGGTTTCGGTTTCAGAATTTTCTGGTTGGAGGGGGGAGAAGCTGCTCGTGGTTCGCTCCTATTATCATCTGAATTTTTAACTGATGACAAAGGCCCTGAGGGCCACATTTTCAAAAGCACCTACGTAATTTAGGAGCCTCACTTTCAATTTCAAAAGCAGCTTAGCCAATTAGGAGCCTACGTCTCAGTGACAGTCAATGGGACCTACACTGCTAAGGGCCGAATCCTCAAAGGTATTTATGTGCTGAACGTAAGCATGGCGGTACCGGGTCAGGCCAGTGTCCTGTCTGCCGACAGTGGCCAATGCCAGGTGCCCCAGAGGGAGTGAACAGAACAGGGGATCATCAAGTGATACCTCTCCTGTCACCCATTCCCAGCTTCTGACTCCAGAATCCAATAACTTGCCACCGGATTATGCTTGGGGCTAAAGAGAATCCTTGCTCCATATTGTTACAAGAGTCAGACCTTGTAAAAAGATGCAGAAACACGAGCAACCAGTCAACCCCAACACCTGCTAACAGAATCCCCAGATACTCCCCTTAGAGGGTTTTGCTTTTCGAAAACGTTTGAAACTCTACTTTTATTCTGGATTAATATTGAATACGTACACGTGGCTGGCTCCTTCGTTACTTCCTGTACTTAAATGAATGTTCAAAGCAGCCACTGTAAAACGCTACATCTTTATGTAGTGAAGCCTAATAGGAAAGGTGTGTCCTGGATATCGAACCACTCGACTGGCTCAAATGCCTAAATCCGACATTTTTAAACAAACAAATAGGAAGCAGAAAAGAGGAAGCAAATGAAAACCTGACGACTTTGGTTTTCCCTTTCAAAAAGGGCACTATTTTTATCTAAACAACTATCGGCCCAATTTACAAACATGCTGAACATTTATAGCTGCTGCTTTAAACACCACACACAAAACCGACCACATACTTTTAAGAGCACTTTGCCGTTAATTTTAAAACGGATGTAAGGTTCACCCCAATTGAAATTAAGAGAGGCAGCAGCCTCAGGCCTTGTATTTAGATCGAATGGTTTTAGTCTGCGTCTGAATCCTGTAGCTTCCTCTCTCAGATCACCATGTGGGGCTGCACTTCCACAAGAAAGGCTTTGGAGTGTGATGTAAATTTCAGTGAGAGGGCATCTGCAAATCAAGGTGCTGATCTTCCAAAAGCTCCTGCATGTGCTTCACTTTTAAGTATGAAGGGGCAAAAGGAGTCATGTGGGAGCGTGGGGTGGGGAGTTCGAATACAGAGACACTTGTCTTGTGGACTTGGTTGGGAGTTTGGGGCTACACTGGCCATGTACAGGTGGGCCCTTGTCCTCACCCCTCCCCCCCATTCGCATGGCAGTGCCCTATTCCAAGGGACAGCAGCGGCTGAGCATATGGCCAACACTCCCCCCACTTGGATGCGCAGAGCAGGGTCACAGTGCTCGAGATGCACGGCTGGAAGATGTACCAAGCCACGGAATACGTTCCATGCTTAGGTTAACTCCTTCTCTCTTGTTCCAGATACAATGAGTTTTATTTTCTTACGCACCCGGCCCTATTTATTAACAACCATTTCCCAGACAACAGTAACTGGCAGCTCCTGAAACCGGCTCTGACACTGAAAGAGTTTGAGAGGAACATGCAATACGGGAGTCACTTTTACCAGCTGGGCATGGTGGCTGCCCACCCAGACTCACACACCATCCCAACAGGTAACGTCCCCCCACAGGAGCCATTACAAGCGCTGATCTGGATGCGTTACATTTCCCACTGGCCGTTGGCAAACAGGCCGCACGTGGGGCTCTCCTCCCCCGCCGGCCCACTCTTTGGCGGTCTGGGATGCAGCACGGTCACTCGGGGCCCAGGGCTCTAAAGAACTCCCCAGGCAGTATCACCCATTTGCCGTTTCAGTCCCACCGATGTGGGATCGGGAGTGTCACTGCATGCGGCGGGGCTCTCAGACCTTCTGCAACAGCTGGGGATGGCCACTGACGTACAGGGGACTGGACTGTGGGTCTGATCCAGCTTGGCAAAGCCGGTGTCCCTCAGCGTGGGCAACTTGAGAAGTAACATAAGGGGCTCACACAGGATCCAAGAGCACTGACCAGCTCCCTTTCATAAACACGTGTCCCAAAGCATCCACCCCATCTTGTTCCTTGGGAGGGGCACCACTGTGGCTGGTGGTTGACAAGTTAGAGCCAGCGAACAACAGCCCTTTAATTTCCCTAACTGGTGATCTTCTGGGACACTCAGTCCACTGGGTCACAGCGTGGGGGGGAGGGGGTGTTACATAAACAGACTGGAGTAAAGGCCTCAACAGTTTATTTTTTCTGTATTTTACAGTAAACGGAAAAGCAACTATTTCTATTGAGAGCCGTGCTCTGCTACTGTTTATGTTTGACTTGAATGGAGCTGAAGAACATGGTTTGATGACGCTCAAAAAGAATGGGATGAAGCTGGAGCTCTACCCCCAGAAGACTGGGAAGCACAACGTACGGATCTTTGCCAAGCCCGCCAAAGGCTCGGAGACGCTCTACAACGGCGTGTTAGAATACACCCTGGAGTGCAGCTCTGTGGACAAGAACACACGTTTCCCAAAAGACCTGCATCAGCCTGTTGGACCCAGCTGGTTCACGGAGCGTCAAGGGTTCCTGAGGCCATCACACCCTGACCCCATCATTCACACCAACGACGGGTGGTGTTCCATCACTTTCACCCTGGGCAAAGAGATAAGTGTCCTCGCCACGTTGCATTCAGACAACACTAGCTTGACTGAGGATATGAGAAGACGGCACATCATGCAAATCCATCGAGGAAACCAAATAGAGTTTAAGATCCATCTCCCCCATGCGGGAAAGTTTGTTCTTAAAATCTTTGCCAAGAAGAAGTCCGAGCCAGGCAGTTACAATTATATCTTCAACTACCTCATCTCCTGCCCCAACACCCAAGTCAAGTGGCCGTTTTTCCCACAGCATTACAGCAACTGGGCAGAAGATTATGAACTGCTGGAGCCACTTGCTGGGCTGCTGCCAGCCAATCGCAACGTTCCATTTAAGCTCAAGATGCACAGTATAGCAAAGGCCTTTGTTCAGGATGAAAACACCTCTCCTCTGAGCTTGAGTAAAGATGGCTACTGGGAGGGAAGCTGCAACACTTCTGGCTGCACAGAGGTTTTCGTCATGGTGCAAGAGAATGCCAATCAAAAGTTCTACTCACAAATCCTGAAATACACAGTGGAGACCCAGTAAACCCCCTCCCGTTCTTTCCATCGTCGCACACAATCCAACATTTCACCACGTCCCAAGCCCGCATCATTTTACGGTGCCCAGTAGCTCTCTTCCCCCAAATCTATTAATCCAACAAATACGCAACAACATTCGGGCATCTCTGGAAGAGCCGACGCAATACGAGATCAAAACCAGGAACAATCAGTAACTGTCACAAAGGGAGCTGCTGCGTAGGGAATTCAAATTCATCACAGACACTGCTAGGTGACCTCTTCCAGAGAAATGGTTTGAGGGAAATGACTGACTTATGTCCACAGTTCATTAACATTTCGGCAATAATTGTTGGTTTCTGAATTACTGGGCATCATCATGAAGGTTTATCGGGGTTACACTGAGAAGACTCTGAACATTCAGGGGTAGGAAAAAGAAAGCACATTATCCTTTTGCAATAGGACTCTGCAGTAGTTTAAGAATCTTTAAACAAGGGTTTCTGTGTGTGTCTAGCATAGTAGCAAAATCCATCCCAGGGAAGAGAAGTGCTACTGAAAGAAGATATAGTAGGTGAAGGCTTTCTTGCGCACTTCATTGTCTTACAAAATTAAGCGATATTGCGAAATGACTGTTTTTACACTTCATCTTCAATGCAATAAAATATTAATTTTTATCTTATTACTGGGATGTTTGAGCTGTAAACACTTTTGCTACAAAGGCGGTAACTCGACTATCACGCTACAATTATTTTCTCTCAAAACACAAAAGGAGGTTTCTGCCACTGACAAAATCAGAGTTAAACTGGGACTAATGTTAGTTCTCAAAGTCAACATTCAGAAAGCACCTATTTGTCCAAGACAGAGCTGCTGAATGTGATGGGCTGTCCAGGTACTGCCCTGACAAGGGAAATCAGTGGAACTTTGGGTCTGCACAGAAACCCCCATTCTCTCTACTGTCCTGTAAGCAATCATACCTTTGATAGATGCTTTATTCAAAGAGATCTTCCATTGCAGAAGTCAAGAGGAGTAGTCTGGCTGGTTTCATGTTCAATAGTCAATGAAAAAAAAGCGGCTGCCCAATACACTTCATTCCATGACCATGTCAGCGTGCATCTCTTGCCGTATGTTCCAAGAGGTGGCGAGTTTTGTTTTAACTTGATTTCCCCCCCAAACCAACAGTTGTAATTTCCCATGCAATGTATTTATTGCACTCATGCAACAGCCTGAGCGCCTCCCGTTGGCAAAAACACTGCCTGGCAGTCCCTTTGCCAGACCGCCAGGGAAAGCAACGCTTGGGGGCCTGCGTGCACTGCTCTGGGGGCTCCAGAGTAGAGCCCCTCCTGCAGCTTGCTGCCCCTGGCCGATGACAGGGCTGGGTGGATTGGCAACTGCTCCCACAAAGTGCTAATGGTGCTAATCCCAGACAGCAGGTAGCCCACTCTCTGGAGAGCAGAGATGCAGACAGAAGACAGGGGAGCCCAGGGGTGCTTGGTTAGCTCTGAGGATCCTTGCAGATGTTTCAGCTCCACCCAGGTGCATGCAGCCCAGCTGGCACCTTCACTTACTCCTGCTCCATCCTGTCATCATGGCATCAGCATCCAATGCGGTGACAGCTGGGGCTGCCAGCGGGAGGGAGACGGGAGCCCGGAAGCCTATGGTGAGTGCGCCATTCCAGGGCAGGCCCACAGCTCCCCTCATTCCTTGCTCAGGGTCTAGCAGCCAGCCTCGTGCCTCTACAGACCATGCCAACACAGGCTGCTCTCAGACGCCTGTCATGGGCCCCACGGCCTGACTGTAGCATAACCCCTACAAAGGAGGGAGACCAGGCTCCGGCTCCTCTTCCCCGAAGTCTGCTTGGCACAAGTCGGTCCCCAGACCTTCAGCCAGCCGGTAAGGTGGCAGGAGAAACCCAGCAGATTCATGTGGTGGGTCCACGGAGAGCAATGTCAGTAAGAGGAAATTGTCTAAAGGTAAAAATAGTTTCTTTGTACAGCTCTCTCATCGCCTGTCATGACAGCAGACACAGAGTCATTTTCTCCCGTAATTGCCCTCACTACAGTCCATTTTTTCTAGTCTCACACTCCATACACCCCATCTGCTTGGACTGCGCAGATACATGACCTACATGCAGGATCGCACGCATAAGGAATTGTACATCTGATGCCCTCCCCCATATCTGACAAGGCCAGCCCTGAAAGGCATGCCAAGACGGCACCTTTCCCTAGACTAGAAATCAAGGCACAACTCACTATAAATTGGTTTCCACCAGTGTTCCCTGTAAGCTGGGCGCTTGTGGGACTGCTCTGGCGAGTCCAGTGCTGCCCAGCTGATTAGCAGAGCGCCCTCAGCGTGGTTTTGTTTCTACTAGTGGTACACATTCACACACCTCAGTGCATATACAAAATTTATTCCACACACCGATGGAAAAATCTTTTCCAGCCATATACAGATTAGAGGGAACATTGGTTTCCACATTTTTTTTTAATGAAACACAAGGCAAACGTGTGGCTCGGCCTTGCAACCGAGGAAACGCGTTGGTGTTATTAAAAGGATGAGTTCAAAGACAAAAAGCCCTCTAGCTCCATTAATTATAAAAATGCTAGGAGCAAGTAATTATTCTGAGGGGACGTTCAACATTCAGAAGGCATAAATGAATGCTTGGAAACCCTGCAGTCCCCGATAAAAGTGCCATAAACCCTGGATTAGCAGGGCCATCTTTCTCCAGGATAAACAACCCTATTCCTCCCTCCCCACAACACAACAGGCACTTTCCTGTTTCATAGTGCGCATTACTGATCAGTCAGCTCTCCCCACCACTTCCAACGGACTATTATCCTTCAGTCGGAAAGGGGATCGGAGAGCTGCTGTAACCTTATGCCATGCAGAGGAGTAATTACCGAGTGCGAAGAATTCACATTGTCTGTTGTGACTTACTAATGTCAGAGTCTCCTCCTTTTTGATATTGGAAAATTATTCTACACACACAAGTGAAGAACTGCCTCTCAGCTCCTCCATCTATCAATTATCATAGCTAATTACTTCAATGATGGCCCAAATGTAACAGCATATTTCAGTGCCCGGGCGGCTGATGGAACAGTAGTTTCAGGCCATTTGTTACAGTGCAAGCGAATGGCATATTGCCTTTGAGAGCCCCAAATGAGTAGGGATGACTAGCTGTCATCTCGCATTGTTTGGAGCAGTACTTTGGCTCCAGCGCTCTGAGTGGCAGCGTGACCTGACCTGACACAGCTGGTGTCATTGCTTTCATGGCATATGCTTTTCCCTCTCTAGTTATCCAGCCACAGGCTCCACAACTGGGCACAAGAGAGCCTCTCGTGTGGTCCAGTCCACAGCACGACTGTTGGCTCCACAACTGGGCACAAGAGAGCCTCTCGTGTGGTCCAGCTGCACAGTTTTGCTAATCGTAGGGCAAACTCCCAGCCCCAACTGGGAGTCCCTGAGAGTTTTGCCACTGCCCAGATAACGACCAGGCTTCTGCCACCCTCATATTTCTTTACTCCAGTTCATAGAATCCTGGAGATCCATCGCTATTGTTGCCCCTCCGGCCTCTGCGGTTAGTCTAGGCCCCTACGGAGAGGCGTTCAGTGGCCAACCTCTACTCCAGCTGAAGTCAGAGCCAGGCCCTCCCTGAGCACTCTGGAAAAGCCTGCCGGCACAGCACGACTTCAGACCCTCTGTCGTACGGGGAAAGGAACGTTCAGCATAACTAGCACGTTGCAAAGGACAGTAGGTGACACCACAGACTCCGCAATTGCTCTAGAAGCATCATTCCCTCTTATCAAGGGCTCAAGGAGCAAAGGACAGTAGGTGACACCACAGACTCCGGAATGGCTCTAGAAGCAGCATTCCCTCTTATCAAGGGCTCAAGGACAGCTGGTGGGCCCCACAAACTCTCTACTTTTTCAGTTTCCCAGGCCCTGTAGGAGAGTTCTCAGACACGCACGGACTGAGCGTGCTTGTAGGTATTGGGAGGGGAGGGGATGAGGCAAAAGCTTCCAACAACAGCCTGTAACACCTTTGTTTTGACAGGCATTACTTACCCCGTTCACTGGACGGTCTGGATCAAACAGCTGGTTGTCGCAGTGAGCTGGCTGTCGCTGGCTGCCATTTCAGGTTGCTCCGGAATGGTGTGAAAGGGATGAAAAGTTGTGAAAAACGAATAGTGACAGATACAGGGAATGGCAAAGGTGCAGTTGGAGATGCCAATGCCGCACAGTGTACATCTGATCAGCGGCCATGCCAAGAAGGGGAGGATGAGCTCGAGTCATGGGAGGAGGGAAGGGGGCATGGAATGGGAGGGTGACGTCTGAACAGCAGCAAAAGGAAGCACAGCAAAGGAGCAAGAGGAAAGCCCATGGCTGGGACCTATGGAGTTAGGTGTCCAACTCCCACTGCCTTTCAACGGTAAATGGGATTCTTTGAATCTCTCGCCTAATCTCTCTCAGGGGGCATAAAATCCATTCTGATTCGTCAGCCGACAATTTGTTACAGTAACTTTGGCTCACTGGCCTATTCATAGGGAGGACTCTTAGTGAGCGGCGTGACGGCATTCGCTTACCCCCTTGTCACAACTGGGCTAGCCAATCCAGTGCGTTTTATAAGGGAGGCCTAGTGCAGAAAACAGAAAAGAGCGGGGGAAGTTGGATTAGGATTCATTCTTTATCAACCAAAGAGTAAGGCTGAGTCTCCAATCTGTTCCCTTAGATGTGACACTCCCTGAATGCTCCCGGAACCCAGACAAGGACACGTGTCACAAGGCAAACCCCTCTTGTCGGCACAAAACACAAAAGTCTCAAAAGCTTCCTGGCACTTTCGCCTGCCTCCTAGCACCACCAGCTGCTCGGCCCTCTGATACAGCTACTGCACTGACCGCGGCTTTCCTTCCTGTGTGCTTATCCCTTACGCTCGACCTCACCTGCTCCAACTGCTCCTCTTTTACATCCCGAGGGAGAATTCTGCCACCTCTCTGTTTTCTGCTTGGCTATTTGCTGCCTCGGAATCTGTGAAAGCAACACAAGAGCAAGATGGATCGGGTGGAAATGAACAGCACAGCATGCAGGCAGCTGGGTGTAGGAGTTGCAGGAAGCTCCAGGAAATATTTACCAACAGTACACTAGGAGAGGAGAGCTTCGTGTGGAAAATATTTCCTCCCCCACTTAGGCCTGCTGCATACCGTGTATGTTTGTTTTGTTTTCAAGAGCGTAACAACTCTTGGAAGCAGATGGTCAGATTCATTCCCTGGAGAGGGATATAAATGAAAACTCACTGGCTGAAAGAGATTTACTTTGTGCCTTGGGGGGAGCGGGAGTAGGGGAGCAAGAAGGGGTTTTTCTTGTTTTGCTTTTATTTTATTTTTTTTTACAGATATAAAAATAACTTTAAATAATTTACATGGGAATTTGCTCTGAGGAGACATCACAATCTCCGTGGCAGTGAACACAAACACACGCACACACACACACACACACACGAACACGCACACGAACACACGCACACACACACGCACGAACACGCGCACACACGCGCACACACACGCACACACCCTCCCTCTCCTGGACTGCAGCATGTTGGATACAGAGTATCAGATGGAGATGTACTTTCACCCGCACAATCACTCCTGTTCCGGAGCCATTCGGGATATCCTGGGTTTTCACACTTCAAATTCATCTTGGGGAATGAGGGCACGTCTCTTCCCTCAAGCGCTGAGCTCGGTCAGACTAAGTTCCTTCCCCCGCACAGCTGATGTGGTTTCATTAAACCAGTCTTCAAATCCACAGACCTTGAAGAGCTGCTACTTCTGGTGTGAGAACTGCCTCACTGTCCTTTCGCTCTCCTTTTTCAGTTCCTCGATGTGAGCATCCAAGCGGTCCAGGATATGCTGAGATCTCACCTCCTCCTCCTCCAGAAACCTGGCGGCTATTGAGCCAATTGGAGCTGTCGGCAGGGGGCACTAAAAGAAAACAGATGCGAACAGGGCTCGTGGGCAGAGAAATAAAGCGCAGTAGGAGGCTTCAACACAGCCTGCCTGTGAGGGATCAAACCGTGCATTAAATTCAAGTGAAACTGAACCGAACCACAAGCAGTTTCAGCTCGTTCAGGGAACCCAGAATCAAAGCTGGGTCATTCTAGAGCGTTTCAAGTCGCAGGTTAGGAGCGTTACAAGGTCAGCTGGAACCGACATTCGAAAAGCGAAGCCCCTGACGGCTGAGCTAGCAAGTGACTGAGGAGCACAGAAACGGCTCTCCAAGTAGCTTCAGCCAGATGTGAAAAATGCCATCCCACTGTCTCGGCGCATGGAACCGCCCTCCGTAACAGGCACTCTGCACGTCCCAGGCTGGGCGGGAGCTACTTCCCTAGGTACCTACTCCATCACCGTACTTCTAGGAGGAATCCTGGCCCCAGGAAGTCGGGCGCAAAACCCCTGCTGACTTCAGCAAGGCCAGGGTTTCATCCCTACTGTTGAATTCCCCCCTTTCCACGCAACCGGAGGGTAACTTGTGACTCTGGATGGGGTTGTACAAAACTATCCTTTAATACAAGTTCAAACCATTATGATGGTTTTATCACCTGGGTCCAGCCACCTTCTCCCCTGCATACTGCTCACCCGCTGGCTGCTGCCTCTCTGCCCGCACTGCGGTACAATCCCGAGGCTGGGAGCAACAGCAGGGCCTCTGGAGCCTCGGGCCCAGGGGGGAAAGAGGTTCGGAGCATAAACTGCCTCTTTGTGAAGTCCCTGCTCTCTTCAGTGCACTCTCTCCTAGAGCACGAAGGGGGTGAGAGGCCCAGTTCCCATGTGCCGAGCTCCCATGATGCTCCTCTTCAGCCAGCCCTCGTTACAAACCAGAAGCTGGTTCTGCCTCTCGCCTCCCCCAGACAGCACAAGTGTTAAACGATGGGAGGCTTTCTGAGAAAGCAGTGGGGGGAGGGGAGGTAAAAACGGGAGCAGGAAGGAGCTACTGTCCGTCAGGGAAAGCCTGACTTCAATTTCTTGGCAAGAGACGCCATTGGGCGGTTCCACATCCAGAGAGACAGGGAAAAGCCTGGCCGGTCACTGGTGTGCAGGGCATGTCTCCTCCACCGTACGAGCACTTCTCCCTCTTGGGACAAGAGCTGCCCTCTGGCAAGCTCCCTCTCACCACGAATGCAGCAGGGGAAAGATCTAAGCAGGGCAGCCCCATAAGGCCGCAAGTAGTGACTAGAAGTGCCGTGTGATGGAGAGGGAACCAAAGGCCCCCAGTAAGACAAATATGTGAGCTGATTTCCTACCTCTGAACCCTCCTTTCCTCCCCCTATCTCCTGTATTTCCAGCAGGGCAGATTCCCCCACCTACAAACCATTAAACGCCTGAGCCAAGGGTCACCAAATGGCTGCTGGTTCAGAATCATTAGTGACCGAAGCGGGCAGCCCACACGAGGTGGTGCAGAACGCCTGTGTCAAGGAGCAGTTCGCTACAGCTGAACCAGCTCGAGTTTAGAATTCGATTTCAGCGGGTCTCTCGCCCCGGGGATTCTGGGACACCACTTCATTGCCAACCGGCGTTCTAGGCATTCGCGTGTTCACCATCCCCATATTATTCGCTTTCCTGGCTTTGGGTTACACTAACTCCAGGCTCACACACAACACGGCGGGTTTCAGAAGCAGTCTCTGAAGCCGGCTCATATTTGCCGCATGAGAGACTGCAGAATCCTGGCTCTCTCTCCTCTCTGAGCAGTGACCCACAGTTCCCACGTCCCTACTTACCAAGGGCGCAAGTTCTCGCTGGCGACTGGCGACCGATTCCCAGGACTCATCGTCACAGAAACCTTTCCTTCCACCTGGCCCCAGGGACAAATGGTCTGCGCCCAGCAGCAAGTCAGAGGACAGGGATTCCTTGGAGCTGCTCCTGCTGATGCGGGGGCTCTGTCCTCCGGCTGCCCCAAGGACAGGGCCCGTCCCTGGAGAGACATGCTGGGCTTTCAGAGTCTCGATCTCCTCTTCGTAGCGCTGAATGGTCATTTCCAGCTTGGCCTGCAGTTTCCGTCTCTCTTCCTCGTGTTTGTGCTGCAGCTCCTGGGTTCTCCTGGAGGCGGGACAGAAAGCACCCGGAGTCAGGACAGTTTGGCTGTTTGCAGGTCTCACACAAGGGCAGAGGGGTCGGTCTGCACTAGTCTGAAAGGCTTGGCAATTCAAACGGGCCGCTATCGTTTATTGGTCATTTCCAGCTTGGCCTGCAGTTTCCGTCTCTCTTCCTCGTGTTTGTGCTGCAGCTCCTGGGTTCTCCTGGAGGCGGGACAGAAAGCACCCGGAGTCAGGACAGTTTGGCTGTTTGCAGGTCTCACACAAGGGCAGAGGGGTCGGTCTGCACTAGTCTGAAAGGCTTGGCAATTCAAACGGGCCGCTATCGTTTATTCTCGCAAGACGCCCCCCCCCCCCCCCCCAAGCCTACCGAGTCTATGGTTAAATATTACCGGCTGTGGCACATCCTATTGCGACCCCGGTTTCCTGAGCCACAGCCAATTCCTGCACAAAGCCCAGTACAAGTTAACCAAGGAGGGTAAGTCTACACTTGCACCCTCTTTTGAGAGAGGGATGCAAATGAAGACATTTGAAATTGCAAATGAAGCCGGGATTTAAATATCCCGTGCTTCATTTGCATATTCGTGTTATCGTGCTATTTTGAAACAACAGACGTTGTTAAGACAGTTATTTCGAGAGAAAACCCTTTTCTCAAAATAACTGGTAAACCTCCTAGCATGAGGAGTAAGGGTTATTTCGAGTGAAGGGTTTTCTCAAAATATAACCACGCCATAACGCGAATATGCAAATGAAGTGCAGGATATTTAAATCCCGGCTTCATTTGCAATTTCGAATGTCTTCATTTGCATCCGTCTCTCGAAAGAGGGTGCAAGTGTAGACATGCCCGGAGAACACATGCATGCTTCCCCGGGTGCTACATTTTACTACACAAAAGCAGCGAAGGGCTAGGAGCCATTATAGTCATGGCAGCAATGAGGGAGAGCACCCATAAGGGCACGTCCACACAGCCAGAGGGGAGAGCAGCCCCACCCGACAACAGACGTGAGTGAGCAGATCTGAACACAGCAGTATGCACAGCACTTGGAAGGGGCAGTTTGGGCTCTTAAGACCAGCCCCGTGCCCTAAGCTTCAACGCCCATAACAGTGCAGTCTACACACTTTCAGACCACTAGCATAAGCCCCACGGACTCAAATCTGCCAAGCCAGGCTGGGTCCCACTGTCTCATCCGAAGTGCTGTGTGGACATACTCCACGAGGCAGCACGGCAGAACACAGGGACTGAACGCCGTGCAAAACACAATGGCAAATTCCAGACTGACCTTGTGTACGAGTTCTGGGGTGGATACTCTGTACCGAACGTGGCATCAGAACCAGAAACCCATTTGTTTGCCTTTTACTTACCTTTGTAATAAAACCCCTCCCTCCGCACGCCATGCTCTCACCTGCTTTCTGTCTCCTGGATCTCAGCCACTTTGTTTTGCATTTGCTGCAGGATGCTCTCATACTTGTCCCAGCAGACCTGAGTGGAGAGCTCTAACTTCGCTCTAGTCTCAGCCAGGTCCTTCTGCAGTTGCTGGTTCTCCAAATCCAATTTACTTAGGGCCATGCTGTAGCTTTCCTGGAGGTCTGTGAGAGCGGCTTCTTTTGCCTAACAAATGAAGAGATGCTGAAGTCAACCCAAACTTGTATTTTTCAGGGGTTTGAAAGAGACCATCTAAATCCAGAGCACAGATGGGCCCATATAGCAGGAGTCCCGTTTTAAGGGGTGACATTTCCAGGCTTTTTACTAGCAACGAAACCTCCTGAGGGTGAGTCAGTTGCTACTGTTTGCTTGAGCCTGCATCCAGCGAGAATGAGCTAATCAAACCAGCAGCGGGGTGAACTGCAAGGTCAAATGTCGGGGTCCCTGAACTGGCTCACTGCTAAATGACTCCTCAGGTCCACCCAAGCCAGTGTGTTCGTATGAATGGGCTTTACAAAGGGAACGCTGCTTTCCTCCTGCAGCAAAGAGGTAAAGCAATGCGCTGCGACGGACAAATCTAGATGTCTGCCTCCGAGAACACGTTACAGACCAAAGAAACGTACACAGCCACAGCACAGCCCACGTCAGGCCTGTGGACACGAGCGGTAACGTATCCGGGCATGAAATGTCACTTCCAATCTCTCCTCACAGTTTCGCACGTTCCTTACACTCTGGAGCAGCTTGGTGAGCCGAGCTCTCAGAAGCATGAATGGTGTGTTTGTACACAGCTGTAGTGATTCCGGTTTGGCAACTAGTTCTCTCCTTCCTAACTCTCCCTCCTAACTCTCTCTCCTCTCCTTTTCCTGACTGGGAAAAGACAATTTCAGTTTCCCAATTGTTTTTCCTCTATAGATTCCCGCCCCCTTCTTTTTGTCTATTCACAGGCAACCCCAAAGCTGCACTTAGGAAAAAGTTCACATACCACCAGTGAGCCGTGACCATTCCAACTGGCTGCTAGCAAGAGCTGGTCTGATCTGTTCAGGGTCTTACCCTGCCCTTATTGCCACAGGATATCAGCACTTTCCAGTTGTGCATTGAGCAACGAGGCTAACACCTGCCACCCGTGCGCGGTTCTCCGTCTCGTCCTCTTCCGAGGGAGGAGAGCTGTGTGTGCAGTGTGCTGCTCTGTTTTGGTGGGGCTGTCAGGACTTGCTTTCGGAGGGCCACGTGACTCTTCGTTTACACTGAAGAAAGCCGTTTGGAGAGGTGTGCCTAGCACTCTGATGGCAAGATCTGGAATGATCCTTAGTTCCTGCGAGTCTCAGCCCAGCCCCCAAGAAAGCCCCTTCTCTGGAACACACTGCTAACTTCCAACAACTTAATACACTGGAGAGCTGGCTGATCAAAAATTGTTTGTATTCTCCCCTCCTATTTTTCCCTGAACAGTTTGGATAAAATATCCCGCCCTGCTCTAACAAGCTGTCAGTTGCTGAATGCCACCCCCCGTGCGTTAGATGGAACACCGCCTACAAGGCAGGCATTGCTAATTCCATCCTTCACCCACTAAAACAACACAGCCCAGGAACACCTTTCCCCCGAACGTTGCTGCTGCTCCAGTCGAGTGGGGCTGATTTCACGTTCCCGTGCGCTGCACAGGTGGCAATAGCCCAGGCTGAAAGGATGGGTAGCGTTGTGAGATCTCTGCACCAGGGACCAGTATATTCCGCCTGGTGTGCTAAGCCCCAACTTTCTCTCCCACCCTAGCACTGAGCCACCACCCACAGTGCCATCTAGTGGCAGCAAGGCAAATCAACACGCCCTTTCCAAGCAGTGCCTGGAGAGAGGCAGGAACGCGCCCCCCCCCGCCTCTCTCCGGGAAGTAAGAGGCATTTCCCGGGCAGTAGCTGCAAGAGCTGGAGGACTTGTAGCTCTCCAAGGTGTGGAGGAGGCATCAGGGATTACAGGCAGCTCCTGAATCGGCTCCAAGCTTGAAGACAGGCTGCTAACAGCATGGCACGCACTCGGGATGCAAGCGACTAGGCGACTATCCGCTAAGCAAATGCTGAGCAGCGACACGGCTAGTCGCTCCCCCCCCCCCGCCCTTATTTAGGGGGGGGCAACGGG